CAACAAAATATTACCAGATTTATCCGTAACACTAAAAATCTTTCACGATAATAAAATTCGGATCCGATTGAAAAGAAATCACTACCATCTCGAGATGCAATTGTTCTTACAAATTCTCACTTTCATTCTTCGATCTGCTGCTGCTAAATCGATGATCTTTTAACATAGGGAAGGGAATATGCCGAATATGAGAGCCATATTAAGAATAATCTGAGATAAATGCTTAATGACATTTTAAAAATAACATAATAAATTATTGAAGAAGTCAAATTTATGTATATTTCCGATTTCATCAGAAATTTATGCTGGATGATGCACTGTAGACGCCTTTGATCATTTATAATATCCTGAGGGAGTCACTGTGATTGACGAGGGAAATTAATCTTTGACTAATGTGACAGATATCAAAGATTACTCTGCGATTAATGTTTGATAACACTAATTTGGATAGTATTTGATTTTCAATTCATATGCTATTGTTACATGTCCACTTTGATTAATAAATACAAATACCATATGTTTAACATATAATTTTATTCTGTTTTTCAACATTAGCAATTTCGTTTTCACAACATTCTCGAGAGAAAGAAAAAGGGAAAGAGAAAATTTAATAAGGATAATTGTGAAGGATCACATCGTCTAAACAATATCTTTATGGCTCTAACTGTTGACAAAACAATTGAATCACTTATCGAAATTCATTTGAACTGTGCTTGTGAAACAGTCAATCAAAGATAATAATCATAATCAAGATTTCTCCTCGGAAAGATTTGTCTCAGTGCATTTTCTACACCAAATTTTCGAAAACCAACAATTGCATATACAGGACCCAAATAGGCACGAAATTGATGGCGAATCAGAATTAGTGATGATTCATCAAGTAAACGTAACGTACTCAACGGAATGTCTGGGAATGTATTACTGCAAGCAAATAAATAATGATATTCGCAGTCTTATTATATCAGAGAAAAAGCAAAGCCAACAGAACCCTGTTCACTTTCACTGTGACATTTCCGTAATACAGCAGTATGTGATTCGGGAAACTGATCATGAATGTCTTGTTGAATATTCTTAATATCTTACCTGAATATCTCTTCGCTATCCTCCGGCTCAGTGTCATTGACCACAGTAAAATGGAAGGCTATTACTTGATGACTGTTAAGGAAGGACAATTCCTTCTGCAGAAAAAGGATAATTTTACACAATTAGCAAAGTTATAACGAGCATGTTTTTGATAAATTTTGACAACACGTGAAAGTCATGCAAGAAACGCAGTCAAATCCCAAAATTTTGAAGAATTGACATGCTTTTAATGAGAAAATGACTTCAAAATATTAACGATTACGAATAAACTGAAATAAATTAAAAACAATTAG